AACTGTCGTTGAAAATTGAAAATTAGTAACTTTTTTTATGACGATTTTTTCAACTATTGCTAAAATTTATAATTAATGACATTTTTTATAACAAAATTTTCAAATTGTCATTGAAAATTAACAATTAATGACTTTTTTTAATAATAATTGATGAAAAACGACATTAATTATCATAAGATTTATTACTATTAGGACTTACACATAAGTCTCTCTTTTTGTTATCTAATTATTAAAAGTCAAATCTAATTTGATAATGTAATTACAATTGTCTAATTAACTTCTTTTTCTTTTTTTTTTTACATAGATAAATTGACTTGATGACGTATGCGATGTAACGGAGATCACAAAACTCAACATCACCCTCTAGTTAGTTGGGATGACTAGGACTGAGTAAGGAATTCGTAAAATTTGTGATTCGATCCGGTTCAATCTAATTCAGTAAATTTGGATTGATTTTTTAAATCTGCGATTCGATTTCGGATTGAAAAATTAAAAATTTATAGTACATGGATTGGTTCCAAATTGAACCCCATGGTTCTAGATTGGAACCGATCTAAACCATATATAAATAGTCTATATTTATATTATATACTCTCCCACATAGTATCTTCATTTATTCTATATAAAACCTAAATCCAAACCTAAAATCGCATAGTATCTTCTTTTATTGCTCTTGTTTGTTGGCTTTTAGTTTTAATTTATAATAGTTTAAACACTTATAGTAGAATCAGTTTTCTTATGATTGTTTAAATTCTAAAACAGTATGTCGTTATTGTGAAAAAACATGTTGCTATTGTGGAACTAATATGATGTTATGTTTATATTTTTATAAAATTAAAATATTTTATATTTTTTATTAGTATTTAATTATATGAATCTGTGATTCTAAACCGATCCAATCCATGTTTAAATAGATTAGTTCGAATTGGTTCAACGATTTAAACGGATTGGATTGAATCTAATTTTTTAAAAACCGTACATAGTAGATTGGTCCTTATTTTATCTCAATCTGAACTAATCCGGACCATATTCACTCCTAGGGATGCCTAACTAGAGGATCCTATAAAATCAATACAATTAGGGTGTGTTTGATTGGACGGACTGGATAAGAGGGGATTAGAATCCAACGGATTTGAGTCCTGGGACTGTGAATCCCCCAGACTATTTGGTTGGATTGGATATGTATCCTGTGTTTGTTTTTTCATAGGATTAGATGTCTGAAAATGACTATTTTTAGTGAATCCAACGTTTGGTTGGACGGATTGGATAGGATAAATGACCAAAAGACTATTTTACCCTTTTCAATAGTTTATTAAATAATAACAATATTAAACATATCTTTAATATTTATTTTATTTTATTTTTTACAAGTAGAGGGTCAAAATGATCATTTTACCACTTAATCCCAACAGTGGATCGTTCTCCCAAAATTGTCCCACAGCCCCCCGGGACATAATAGTCCCCTATATGGGGATAAGGAGTCTGGTCGGACTCTCTGGCGGACTAAAAAAAAAATAAATGACGGATTGGATACTTCCTCCGAATTACAATCCACACAGTATATAGTCCCACACTTATCCACCCATTCAAACACACCCTTACACTACAAATTTAGAAGGACAAAAAAATGAAAAATTTATCTAGAGTTCAAATTGTGTAAATGAGATTCATTATTTAGATGGCTGCTGCAACAACTCTTCATCTAGGTCAGGTTTGTTTAGCAGTGGGCGGCGGATTCAATTGGTATGGGTGTGGGTCCACTCACATTTTGTTTGGTGATTATTTTGGGAGGATTAACAGGGGGCTTAGTAATTCGTTAGTAGCGGATTAGCTTGATTGGATTTTAAAAAGGATTAAAAAAATAGAAAGTGGATTGAATTTATTTTATATAAAAAAATTATTTTTTAAAATTATTTTTTTATCAAGTGTATCTATTTATTTTAATATTTTTTTTAGTTTTTTTTAATGTAGAAATAATTTTTCTATTTATTTTATATAAAAATAATTTAACATTCTTATCACTAATCATCTCTCATACTATTAACAAAACAAACACTTTTACTTAATCTCATCACTAACAATTCACATATTGACAATCTCTTCACTAACCAGTCTCTCACACTAACAATTCCATCTGACTTTAATCTGCAAAATAAACGTAACACCATATTTTACAGGCAAATTTCATGGTACAAAATCTCGGACCATCATAGCATTTTCCAAATTAATACGTATTTATGTTTAGCTATTGAATTTATGTGAGAAGAAATAGAAAGGAAAAAAAAAAAAATTTGTGTCTTTGAACCAGTATTGCATGATTTTCAAGATCAAGGTAGAGAGGTGATGGTGACATTTACTTGAAAAACTGATTAATTAATCTTCACTTTTCTTGCAATGTTGAACACTTACTGGTCATAACAATCAATCAACACATTTTCCTTTGAGAATGTATTGAGCCTTTTAATACGTTTGGTTGTGTTAACTTTTCTCTCTCATCATATACATGCAATTCCTCAATCATCATAAATTTAAGAAAAATTATTTGATAGCCTAGAAACAAATTCATGTGGTATTTTAATTTAATATTTATTTATTAAAACAATAAGACTCAATATTTTTTATTTAATTTTAAAAAAAAACTAGCAATTGACCAATAATGGCCCCGTTTGGTGTAGCTGTTAAAACAGCTTATAGATTATAGCTTAACAGATTATAGATTATGATTTTAATCAGAAGTTGTTAATCTGTTTGGTATAACTGTTGGATTATAGATTTAAGTTGCTGAGTAGTGTTTGTTGAATAAGCTGTGAAATAGCTTTTTTAATTAATTTTTATTTTTTGTTTATTTACATTTCTCATAAAAAATAATAATAATAATCTATAATCCATTTGAGTCTTTTTCTATTTTTAAAAAAATAAAAAATAAAAAGATTTAAGAGTATAACCATAAATTAACATGTCTACAGCAGAAGCTGATAATCAGAAGCAAGGGGTGAACGGCTTCTCAGAATCAGCTTTTTTGAGTTAAAATAAGCTGTTAGAATTAAAAGTTGTTTGAAATAAGCTTAACCAAACAGTCCAAAATAACTTTTTCAAAGCTAAAAGGTATAAGTTGGCTCTAAAAAGCTGAAACAAATACTCCTAATAAATGATGTGCTTTTTTTTATTCAAATTCATTGGATTTATTGAGTAAATTGTGCCAACACATTCTTAAATAAATAACCTTAAAAAATAAGAAGAAAACAAAAAACGAAGAAACTACCCTCCATGATTTTTCTCGGAAATGATGGACCAACATCAACTTTTTTTCCTTTAATGTATTCTAACATGGTGAGCCCTTATTTTACGGGTTGAGCTTCTCATGTCCACTTGTTAATATGAGACAATTTAAGGGCCATACATCACGATTTCGGTTTCGATATATAAAATTATTTATTTTGTAAAATTTTAAATATATATTATTTATAAAAAAGATTAATTCAATTTGATTATTATAATTTTTTATTTTATTATGTTTGTCTTTAAAAAAATAGATGTTATATTTTTAAAAATATATTTATTATTTATTTTTTTAGAAATAAATATAATAAAATGAAAATGTTAGGATTATCGGATCAGACTAAATTTTTTTAACCTAAATAATGTGAATCATCGAAATAAGATCTGTGGTGAGTTCCACATGCCTCTCATGTTCTCTCAATGTTGAAATATAAATTTGAAATAAACCTAACCCTTTATTTATTTATTTTAAATTGATGAGGCTTTTTATTAATCATATTTGACCCTATTTGATCAAAACATAATTGAAAAATAGTCTCATTTATATTCACACTCTCATAGCTGGATTGGAGGATGTTGCTCATGCCTATAAAACTCCACTACTTTAAGTCTTATTTTAATAATTTAAATTGTTCATTTTGATAAATTAAACAACACCCTTTAAAACTGAGTAACTCTGAAGGAGCACCCATCTACAATATACACAAGGTGCGTCATACATATCCTAAAATCAACATGCCAGTACCTCAATAAGAGATAAGGGTCTTGACTCTTCCATTCCAAATGTGGGTCTTTCTTATTTGTTTGATGTTTTGATTTTTAGTTTTGTACTTTATTGTTAGTTTGTGATAATATATTATTCATTTTTTTTATTTATATAATTGGAATGTCTAACTTGATACAGGCTTTGTGATATTTATAAATTATCTCTAACTTATTAAAAATATAAAAATTAATTAAAAAAGAAAACATAGATAGGCTAAAGAGAAGGCAACAAAATGGAGGGGCCCAAAGGCTAGCTTTTTAAATTGAGACGGCAGTGGAAATGTAAGCTGGTGGATAACACGTAGCTTTCATCAATTAAGGGCCCTTTGGGACTTACTTTTTTAGTCAAAAAGTCAAAAAGTTACTCTTTAGTTAAAAAGTCAATAACTCATACCAAAAAGTCAAATATTTTCTTTTCTCTCTACTTTTTGCACATCTTTTCGTAATTAGTCAAAAAGTCATCCCAAACATATAAATTTTTTTTACATACTGTTTTAGCCAAATAGCCAAAAGGTTACTAAATTAGCCTGTTCCCAAACGAGGCCTAAGGCACCGTTTGGGAAGGTGGGTCGGAAGCTTTTTTTTTTTTTGTTATTTTAGTCACAACAAATAAAACATCACATCTAATCCATAATCATTACACTATTCTCTCACAAAAAAAAATTAAAAAAAGCCAAAAAGTCCTTCCCAAACCAAACTTTTTAACCCATACTAAAATAGTCAAAAAAAAAATTAAAAAGCCAAAAAATCAACTCACTTCCCAAACGACAGCTAAGAATATTTAGTATGCTATTCAAAGTGCTTCATAATTATTTAATTATTTTAATTTTTGGCAAGTATAGTGGTACATAATTTAACTATATTCTATTATACAAACACTTCTCTTAAAAACATTTGATAATTAAATTATTTCACAATCGTTAAACATTTGAGACCAAATTACAAGCAACAACATATAAAGATAAAGAGAATTATTATTCATCGAAATTTGATCAATATAACAAAAAAAAAAAAAGTTCGTTATTCATGAAACTATGTCAAATACTTGACAATTCAGATAACACTATAGCTATAGTTCCATAGTCACAACTAAAATTTTCTCAACAATTGCATAAATTTCACCGAAAAAAGCTATACTTTTTTCCTTGGAAACTTTGAGAATCTTACCATAAAGTCCACCAAAAAGACACCAACCCCACAATTCCACAACCGATCAACAGTGCCAAATCCACGGCGAAACTCCGGCCAGCACCGGCGTAATATGTGTCGATCGGATATAAATTCCCGGGTGGACCGGTGATGTAAATGAACGACGATGGTGGCGGTGGAGGGCAGTTCTTGGTTGAGGGCGGTTTCTTGGGTGTCGGTGGTGGCGGCGGCGGTGACGGTGGCGGTGGCGGAGGGCTTTGGTTACATGGGTTGTTGCAGGCGGGGCAAGAGCCGCACTTGATGCCTGAATCAGGCGATGTGGGGACCGTGGTGTCATCGAGCTTCCTAGTAATCAAACAGTTGATCGGAGTTGTGATTGTTGTGATCATGAAAAACATCATAAGAAGATTCATGGGATTGAATTTGTGGGTTGTTATTGACATTTTGAGCTTTGTGGAAAGAAATTTGATCGGCTAGGTTTTGATATTGTTGGGTGCTATGTGGGTGTGTCTGATATTGTTTTGATGTGGTGGTGACTTTGAACTGAAGAGAGAGAGAGAGAGAGTCTGATATTGTTTTGATGTGGTGGTGACTTTGGAGAGAGAGAGAGAGAGGAGGGCGGCCCTTGTCCTTGAGAGCGGTTTGCTTACGTTATTTGGGTGCATGAAGACGTTGTCCATCTTAAAAATTATAGTTTTTTTTATATTTTTATATTTTTAGGAACAATGTTTCATATCTTAGAAATGATTTGCAAATAAAATTTTTGTACAAAAAAATTTATCAGAATGATACGTGAATGACAATTTTAAAATAACAAGTGACTAACCTATGTCTTTTAGTTTAAAATAAATGAATATCAATTTGACATATAAGTTTCTATAGAATTTATGTATATTTTTTTATTTATATATAATTACTTTTCGCATTTGCACTTTATGTTATGCAAATATATATATATATATATAATTAAACCAATATATATATATAATAAAATACATAGGGCAAATTATTGACCTCCCTGGAAGTATGAAACAAATACAAGTGGCTCAATAATTTTTACATAATTATATATATATTGATTTCTCTTTTAATAAGGTTAAAATTATTGAAGTTAATACAAATAGTATGAAATTATAAAGATAAATAAAGAAAAATACATTTTAATATAAAAGATATTCATTCATATGAGTAACAAATAATTGATGAAAACGAAATTAAGTCACTTCTTAAGTATTATGTAAATTAAAATTTTAAGAAAACTTAATATAATTTGAGAGGGTAATTTATGTGAAAATTGGGCCGAGCTAGGTGATGGGCCGTTTTATGGGCTACAGTGAGAAGGACTGAGTAAAAAGGCTTGATAGTTAGCTCGGTCCCAGAGAGCCTTGCAGTTAGCTCGATCACTACGGTCAGCACGGTGGCAGTTAGCTCGGTCAAAACATCTTGAGCCGAGGTATTGTTGGTTTCTACTTAGGACCTTGCTGTTAGATAGCTCGGTCAAAGCTCATTGTGGATAGCACAGTTTCAGACAACCCAGTTAGAATATGTCAACCGAGGTACATGCACAGTGAAAGGAAAAACCAAGCTAGTTGGAGCTCGGTCTACTCTGCGACTTTAGCGTGGCCATGTTATCTCGGTCGTATATTGACATCCAACCATGGTAAAACCATCTCACTTGGTTTAAGCAGTGAGGGGGGTGTTGAAGGATAAACATTATTTTTCAGGAATGTAATTCCTAGGAGGACTCTACATAGAGGAGTAAGAGTCCTACTAGGATTGTGCCACACGGAACCTATAAAAGCTCATAACATCACCTATGGAGAGGTAACACAACTTTGATTCCCGAATACACAGAACTTTTGTCTATTTGTCTATTTTGCTGACTTAGGCATCAGAGAGGTATCCGGCACACACCCGCCGGCTAGCTCACGTTTGTGTTTTCAGGGAGTAAAGCGACGTCGTACGGAGGAGCGCAGACTTGATCAACAGGATTATACGAGAAAGAATATTTCTTGCTCGTACAATTGGCGCCGTCTGTGAAAATATCAGACAAAGAACAAAACCTCTTGATCAAGTTTCCCTCACTAGTTGAATGGTGCACAATGAAGATTTGCCGCAGTCCGCCATCGACGGACAAACCCAAGAGGGGGGTGGGAGGCGCGAAGGTTTGCCCTCTATCCCTCCTATGGCGGACTTAGAGCCCTAGCGACAGAATCCCCGGAGGGATGTAAGGGGGAGGCGGAACAACAGCCCCCATCGCTCTCGCTCACAAAGTCCTAAAGGTAAAGGCGAAGAATCGACCCTCAAGCTCTGGAGGATCGCGTAAAAGAGCAAGATGAACTAATAAGGAAGATAACGGCGGACATGGAGGCCATGAAGCGCCAGATCAAGGGAAAATGGGTGGCGGTAGAAAAGGGGTGCAAAGGCAACACGCCCCCTCGCCACTCGAAGGATCGTGGTAGGCATACTGCACCGTCTCAAGCAGAGAAAGCCTCAGGACAGGCGACACTCAATCAAGGTCTTCCAGGACTCGTTACTCCAGGTCTGAGAGAACGAGAACATTGAGGTCTTACACTGAGGGAAACACCTATCGGCCCTCACGCACCCACCAGACTGCGTCCAAACAAACGGAGTTGCCTAGATTGTCCGACCTACGGACTGTGCTTGAAGAAAAGGCACGATGGAAAGAGGATACCAGGGCACGCGACCCGCGCAGAGTCTCAGCCCTTCAGCGGTTGGCCCCTCGGACGCATGGAAGCGTCGAGGTAGGAATGCCAATAGCGCGCCCTGCTTACGAACCAACAGACAAAGCCTTAGCATGACTGCAGACCTCGCCGTTCGTTCCGGCAATTGAGAACGCGCCCCTACCTTCTGGCTTCCTTCAACCCAAATTTACTACGTATAAGGAGAAGACAGACCCCTACTCGCATTTAAGCCACTTTCGCCAGGTCATGGCAGTATACCGGCGAAACGAGACTTTGATGTGCATCCTATTCCTATCAAGCCTCAACGACCTAGGTTTAACCTGGTTCGAAAGGCTACCAGAAGCCAGCATAGCCTCCTGGGCACAATTGGCAGAGGCGCTCGTGACAAGGTTCAGAACGAACACCAAGACCCCAGTAGAGATCGATCAGCTACTCTCCATTGACATGGGCGACAAGAAAACATTGAGATCTTACAATAGTCACTATTAGGAGACGTTCAACCAGATAGGGCTCTGCCCCACCAATCTCTCCATCGCACAATACAAAAGAGGACTTCCAATCGGAAACAAGTTGAGGGATTCAATTACTATAATGCCACCCCTCATGATGGAAGCCTTGATAGAGAGAGTGCACCAACATATTCGGGTGGAGGAGGATGGCGTCCGTGCTAAAGCAAAATCTAGTGCAACAGCAGCGCCAGATAAGAAGACTATGGCAAAAGTGAACACAGTAGAACGTCTACGCAAGAATGGACGAGGCAGGCGAGACAACGAAGAGGACCAAGATAAAAGATGGTTGAGAGTTCGCACTGCCATTACCACGGTATTCAAGAAACCAATCTACCGAGTTCTCAGTGAGATACATGATGAACCTTTCGTCAGATGGCCAGCTAAGCTGGGAGAAGCGCAAAAAGACTACGACGAAAGATCTTGGTGCACTTTTGATAAGGAAAAGGGGCACCGCACTGAAAATTGCACGCCGTTGAGACAGTATCTGGAGGAGTTAGTGGCAGCTAGGCATCTGGACCGATACATAGAAGGAGGGACACAGCCAGCTCCCCAGAACCACGATCACCCAGACGGAATGTCGATCGACGCCCCACCTCAAGGCGTAATTAATGTAATACATGGGGTATTCGAACCTGAGCGAGTATGTGAGCTTAGGGGAACGATCAAGAAGGCTGAACACTTAAGGGAGGTATTGAGTGCGCAACCTACCATCAAAAAGGGGAAAATAGAAGCCATGAACGTTATATCTTTCTCAGACAGAGACTTGGCAAGGATATATTGCCCTCACAATGATGCACTGGTCGTCACACTCCACGTCATGGATTACGACATCAAACGGATTTTGATCGACCAAGGAAGCTCGTGCGAGATAATGTATTACGAAACCTTCAAACAACTGAAACTGAAGGACAAAGACTTGGCACCTGTCGTATCTCCCCTGATCAAGTTCAACTCAATGCCAGAGTGGCCAGTCGGCAAGATAATCCTCCCAGTCAGAGCAAGAAGCATGACTAAACAAGTGAAATTCTGGGTATTGAAAGTGCCCTCCACTTACAATATAATCTTGGGAAGGACATGGCTGCATGCCATGAGAGCGGTAGCGTCAACCTACCATCAAGTAATGCGGTTCCCCAACGAAGTCGGAGTAATTGAAGAGGTCTATAGAGACCAAATTATGTCTAAGCAATGCTTCGTTACAGTAAATGGAAGTCGAGCTGCCAAGGGGTTTGTTCAGATGGTGAAAGAGCCCGAGAGTAATGAATTGTTTGCGGATGTTGGCAAAGTCGCTGAACAGAAGGCAGTGGAAGACTTGGTACAGGTAAAAATAGATGAAAAGAACCCGGATAAGTTCTTTTTGCTTAGCTCATCTATGTCCAGCACTGAGAGAATAGAGGTCATGGAATTCTTGACCTCTAACATCGAAGTGTTTGCCTGGACGCCGTATGACATGCCTGGCATTGACCCAAGCTTCATCTGTCATAATTAAATGTTCACCCAACTGCCAGACCACTTATACAGCGCACTCATAGATCGGTACTCCACCATGTCGAGATAGTGGCGGAAGAAGTAGAAAACCTGCTAGAAGTAGGAGCTATCAGAAAGGTGCACTACCCCAGATGGATCTCCAATACAGTAGTGGTGCCTAAGAAGAATGAAAAATGGCGTGTCTATGTGGACAATAAAACGGTCAACAAGACATGCCCAAAAGACAGCTTTCCTCTTCCATGGATAGACCAACTGGTAGATTTGACGGCAGGACATAACCGTCTTAGCTTTCTTGATGCGTACAGAGGTTACCATCAGATCGCCATGTATGAGCCAGACCAGGAGGTCACATCTTTTACGACGCCAAGAGGACTATATTGTTACAAGGTCATGCCCTTTGGCCTTAAGAGCGCAGGGGCAACATTCCAACGGATGGTCACCAAGATGTTCGAACCATTGTTAGGCAGAACAATGGAAGCCTACATCGACGACATGGTAGTCAAGAGCAAGGATAAGAATGACCATCTCAGGGACCTAGGCGAGATGTTTCAGATCCTGAAGAAGCACAAGCTACGCCTTAATGCATCCAAGTGAGCGTTCGGCGTAGGATCTGGCAAATTCCTAGACTTCCTGGTGACTAACTGAGATATAGAGGTAGACCCTTCTCAGATCAAAGCAATTCAGGATCTAGAGAGGCCCAACTCAATAAAAGAGGTACAGCATCTCACCGGTATGGCAGTCGCGCTCAACCGGTTCATAAGTTGGTCGTTAGACAGATGTCGGCCATTTTTTCAAACATTAAAGGCCAAATTTGAGTGAGATGAAGAATGCGACCGCGCCCTAGAAAATTTGAAAGAATACATGTCTTCTCCGCCGTTACTAGTGACCCCAATACCTGGAGAAGAACTATTCTTCTACCTAGCAGTTTCAC